CCCCCCCACTTAATTTCTTTTAAATTGTAATTAATGTGTCTACTCTGGCGTCTACTGATAATCTCAAAATGCAATTTCAGTGGTTTATTTACATTTACAAATATTTAAAATGGGCTTCCTGTCCAATATTAACCACAGGAAGACCAAAGAGTCATATAAAAGAATCATTCATATAAATCAATATCTTTCATAATCTCTCATTTTAGTAACAGGCAGTGTGGATATGTACAACGTAGACTCACCATCATGGACGCTGAGTGAAATGTAAGTTACTCTCTGCACAATTATCATTAGAGGTCTAAAATACAATATTAAATAATAGAGACAGTTATTGATTAAATCATAATATTGACACTTCATGCATGCAATTATTATAGATAGATTCCTGAGTGTGAGTAGTAGGTATATTAGGGCTTTTCTTGTTTTGATAAAACTGATGCATTCTGGGGTAGATTGGGTATAAACAACACTATATAAGGCATCTTGTTCAACGGTATTTACCCAGTAAAATCCATTTTGTAACTTCCATAATCAGTCAATTGACGACATAGGTGTCCAACTGACAGCACCAACAGAGAAAATGCAAATACATATCTGGAATTGAAAATATCAAGGTAGAAAATGTATCATTTCAGGGGAAAGAAAACTAGGTTTTGTATTATTCGACCCACTGCAGTTTCTTCATGCAACCAGGGGAAATAATAATTCTCTCTCTAGCACTTGAGCACTCCCGGCAACCCGCTTGCAATCTGCAAATAATTTAACATCTGGTTCCAAACTGTATCGCAGATCCTCTCTGAGCCTGGTCTTTCAGGAGGTTTGAGGTAACAAGGCAACRTGGCCATTTAGATTAAAGGAGTGAGGAATATCAATAAATTATTTTTAGGGAACAAATTTGTGAAAAAAATCATATTTTTTGAAAACAAGTTTATGAATTTCATATTTCGTCTTATAGGGAACAAGGAAACAAACAGAAAATTACTAGGGGAAAGGGAAACTTTTAACCCCCCTCTCCCCTGGGAGAGCCTCCTCTCTATACCCTTTGAAAAAAGCTACATTCCCAAGGCAAGCCTCAACACATAATAAACATAACACTTGGACTTTGCTTTCTATGAATCTTCTGTATCACATAAACTATTAGGTAATCAGTGTGTTACCTGTGAACAAACTTTGGGTTTAAAAATGAGATCAAAACATAACAGGAGAAAGCCATGCCAATAATAATGAAAAATTGCCTGCAGAGGGTAAAAAAGATGACAAATGTTTAAATGAGAAAATTTTGTAATTTTCAGATTTAAACTAATCTCTTAACGAGATACCCAAAGTGTGCATTGAAATATTCAAATTGAATTACATGTAATAAAATATAAAACTCTGTTTTTTTAGCCTTAATAAGTAATAACTTGTTAAAAAATAGGCTTAAACATGTCTCAAACAAAATGTACTTAACAAGTCGTGATTTTGCAATCGAGGGTAGACTATGCAATATCATTCAATAGGTTTAAGTTATATTTTAATTTTTTTGGTTACAATACAAAATAAACTTTTGGAACTTTGAATTTCCCTGACTCAACTATCCGTGCAAAATTTGTGCAAAGTTGGATGAGCAAAACCTATGATTATTCAGTTAATTATTAACGGTGTCGCAACTCTTTTTCTTCAACTAACCATTTGAATGAAATCCAGCCAAACATTATTCCCCAGAATAAGCCAACCACATGCCTGACAGTAGACGAGACACGCTTAGGATTAAGAACATAACGATAAAAAATCCCCAGAGGATAGCACAGTAGAAGACACGATACGAAAATCAGCTGTAAAGAAATAAACAATAAGAATAACTAAGGTTGAAGTACAAAAAATCTGGCTACGGGATGAACGAGGAAATTCTCCAAATCTTTAACAATTTATATTTGTTATTTGCAAACGAATGTTCAAGCTTGGACATTAAAAATTTAAAATCTGTGTCACATTATACGAAATGCTCGAGTTTCAGGGGCAGAAAAACCCTTTTTTAGCTTCAATGTAAATAGACAAGAAAGGAGGTGATATTTACTACTCAATAAACCTGATTTCACAACAAAAGTTAGAAAGATACCTAGTATAGCTACAAATTCTTACCTGATCAGTTGGAAAAGTGGCTAAGACAGAACGTAAAAATGTGGTATTTTCCTTAGCTTCCATCGTGAAATGGCTCGTGATGTTGATCATGTCGATCGTGTTGCCTGTGAATAACAGTGCGTGATATGATGTCACACCGGAAGTCTGTTAACACGACAAGACCCATTCGAGATGACCGAGAGGAACGTGGGCTCTCGGTACGAGCTTGGACCCATTCCAAACTATTGCATGAAATTTATATATATAATTTTTTTACTTTAGTTATCGTCAGAATGAAACAATTGAAAAATATCAAACTCTTGATTGAAATTTACTTTTTCTCCTGAATATTTCAAAAAGATTTGGAAGACTGAAGCTATTTTCATGACCATGGGTGGTGGGGTGGGGGAAGTTTTCCTTCATGTGACGTATGTACTCCAACATGAATTATAATATATGTTTATCTTTTTATTCAATGTAATTCATAAAAGGTATTTACATTATTCAGACTGTACTTTAACTCAGAGATTTAAATTGCCAATGTCACGCCATGGCACATCAACTACAGGTCAAGCACGTTCACTCACACGATAAAAAATGCCGAATTTTCTAATGACTTTGTGTCTGTCCAGACGAATAGATTAATAGTTTCACATTTATGAAGAATAGAGGCACGTGTCGTTATTGTTTTAGATCAGTTTGGACCATGAAACTATGCTGTGATCTGTTAACGAAATTCCCCTACGGGGAGGGTGTGGAGTTAAATTTGTAGTTGTTCGCACCATGACTTCTCGTCTAGTGGGAACTGATACGTTACTCCGTTTCTATGCTGCGTCTTAACATGATCCGACACTAACTCATAAGGGGGTATGAAACGTGTAACAGATGTTTGAGTTAAAGATTCAGTAAATCTCCTCTAAAAGTCAGGAAATTCAGCGAGAAGTTAAGCGGCCATGTTGAAACCAAAATCAGAATTTTCCGTAGCATGGCTATGGCGTCACACGTTTCAACCCTTTCTATTCATTTCTGACGATCTAATCACAGTTACGTGTAGAGTGCGTGGCAGGAAAGGAATCGATGAACTCGGACTAGATAAAGCCTTTAGCGTCCCCCCCCCCCCCCTTCCCTCCGCACCCCAAAAAACTTATTTTTGTGTTTGTCTGTTATAATTGAACAGCAAGATGAGTTCCCATCATTCGTATTGTTTATGGAAGTCTGTCATGCTTCCGTGGGATCTCTGTGTCCCGTGGCTAAATCCAGGGATTCTTGTATTATCTTCACGTTCTCGAAACTCTTCCATTATATCAGATATTTCTCTTTTCTTCTTTCCAAAGGGTCCTGTTCCTCCAAATGAGCTGTATATCTTCGTCTCGAGTCTGGCGAATAAAGATGTTTTTTAGTAAACTACATCATTCAACATGGCGGCTATGACGTCACATGTACCCAGGAAAAGGTATTCCTAAATAATTTTTAGAAGTGTTTTAATATGCTGTGAGTAAATTCCCTAGAGTATCATTTCTTTGTTTACTGGTTGTGCAAGATAATCGAATATGGATACAACTCAAACAAATTATTCTCACGAGAATGACAGCTGTTCTGAAATGGAAAAACATTCCGCCCAAGGTAAAGAGGTCTATTAGTAAAAATTCAAGTTTCTTCCTCTCCATAAATAATTCCTGAGTTCTTCAAATAAGGCGTATCATAGCCTACATGCAGTCAAAGGGGCTGCATGCAGGCTAGGCGCATTACTGCTGCTCTGATCATCGCGGGTAGAGACATAATGCAATATTATATAAGCCTTGGTTTAAAAATTATGTTTCTTCCAAAGCCCACAGGCACAGCTATTGTGCCATGTTTTCTACTTCATAAAAGGAATATGAAGGCGCAAACGTATTCGTAGTTTGTCTGTCAAATTCCTCATACTAAAACACTGACGTACGTAAGACGAAAAGCCGAGCGTTTCGGAGACAATATAGCCTCCTTCGCAGCCGTTCTTAGGGGGGAGGGAAACGTTGCGTGACGACCCTAAGAACGGCTGCGAAGGAGGCTAGAGACAATATTGATTCCCGACAAAATCCCCCAGTCCCCCCCCTCCCCTCCCTGATGCCCTCGCCGTAACTATAAGGAAGACCCTGTTGCCTCGAAAACTTACCCACAAGCAGAAGGCTGCTTTGATGGAGATACCAAAGGTTTCTTGAGTTTCTTCGCGATGCAGTTTCTTAGCTCCAAGTAGCAGTAGTTCTTGTAAGCGATTCCGTTCGTACCGCAAATAGGAGTATCAAAGAGTCCTTCCTTGTTTGCAGGACATGCTTTACATCCTGGTGGCGCTGAGGACGAAAAACAAGGCGCTTACCTTGTGAAAAGCCTCTTTGGGAGGGGAAAAAGGGGGAAAGAAAGGGAGAACCTGTGAACAGGCTACTTCTTAGACGTTAGTACTGCATAACTATGATTACTGCATTCAGCATCAGTAAAATCCCGCAGCACAAAGATAAATAATGATCGAACAGCAGTGTTTCCACTCATTCTTTGCTCTTTATTCGCGTATTTACTGGTAAGATTGCAAAATGATTAGAAACTCTGATTGGCATGACTGTATAACAGAGTTAGCACATGGAAAATGACATGGAATATAAGCATCCCCATCTTCCGACCACCACCACCACCACTACTCGCGTGATAGTGGGCCACCTTAGGACGTTAGGAGGGGATATTATATAAAACCCTATTGCCTTTAATTTAACCCTCGTCATCCAGCCGAAAATCGTTAAGTACAGAGGTTTAACTTCGTTAATAAAGGATCGAGGGGAAGCGAAACTTAAAATCTGATAAGTCGACACAATTAGGACCTCGTATATTAATTGAATCCTAAATAGTTTTGCAGTCCAATGACCAAGACTGTTATTGAAAATATACAAATGCTTTGCTATTGACGACATGTTTACGAATAACTGTCAACGGAGAAGATAAACAGTTTTCCTGTACGTCTTCTTCTCTACTAACTGAGTAATTCAAATCAAAGTAAATATTTTTTTTTCTTTGAAACGCGTTGAAAATTATTTTGTTTGGCTATAATGAGAACAGAAAGGTGACAATTAAGAGATATTCAATTACATAAAAGAATGGTTATCAAATCCAATACCTTTTTCTCCCCATTTTGTCTGGTGTCCCCAGGATCGAACAGCAGATATAAGAACAAAGAGCCACAGAGCCAAAAACCACGTCCCTCTTGACGTCCACATGGCCTAGTCACTTCTCACCTCTATAACCACTTCTCCTTTCATCAAAAATATAATGAAATTAAAATCAAAAAGAGAACGACAAATCTTAGTAATATTTAGTCTCCGAGCGTAGAATTCCCCCAGTTGTTTCTGTAATGTATGTGAAAAAATTAGACTTGTGCGGCGCATGCGTTGTAGGTAAGCTATGAATTAATTATCGCACGTGTTGATATCAACATCAGTTGTCAAGTATGAACGGGGACCTGCCTTTGTTGTCGAAATTTTCTTTATGTTGACTCTCTAGTTTTTTCGGGTAGGACAGACTTTGAGTCTCCATAGCAATTAATTCTGGCTAACAAACCAGTACGTTTTTCGAAACTACACGTTATCTCGATTATTTCGAACCCGGCTGTTCACACCGCTGCCAGCAAACAAGAGTATATCGTACTTTGGTTAATTAATGACAGCGAAAAAAACACTCGTCTAAGCCCCTGGAATAATGCAGTAAAACCGCATAAAATTGAGTAAAGTTTGTACTGAGATAATTCGAAATGATATCCTAATTATAAATTCAGGTCTCTCTTTTTAAAAACTATCATTTCTAATTTTTCCGCGACGTCTTATTTAGCTATTTTTATGATACCAGTACAAATTCAGACGGAGACAAAGAATATTGGTTCGAGAAGGCCAAGGGTTAAACTAAGAAATGGGTACAATTTGCGAACCCTTCATTTGTGACATTGTTGGACTAAAATTTATCTCGATTTTAAAGGAAAACTAAAATCTATTGGAACTAGACCGTTAGGAACACGTTCAAACACATTGGAACCTGTGGTTAACTTTAGCTTGCGCTTGCAGACAATTACCATGACCAGTTGGTAAAAAAGAGTCACGTCTTAACGATCACTGCGACACGATAAACAATAAAATAAGACTTCATATACATGTATGTGTACATGATAAGGGTGTTGGTCCATGCAGTAACGAATCAAAACATCCATCCAGGTTCTTTAATGTTAAAAGGTATCCCCTTTACTTAAAGGACTGGACCGTTCAGAACTAAATCCAGCTTGCTAACAACAGTAAAACCAATGTTATATCTCGCCCCTGCATGAGTAAAAAGATTGAGGCATGGCGGATCAACGTAAAGACGAATGCTTTATATATAGACAACGAGTATTTGTTGATCAACAAAGTCATGAGTCATTTATCTGAATTCTAAACTGACCACATTTATGGCTTGGTAGGTGTCTACTATTTCTGGGTTCTTCAGTACTCTCATTTATCTATAACGGACTTGTCTCAGTCAAGACTGCTTCGTCTTCTAGACACCGAGCAGACATCCAAGGGCCGAAGAAAACGTGGAGAAGTTCTCGATACGAGGGGAAAATATAAAGAGATTAAAGATGATAATGAAAGCTGAATTCTTTGTGGTTTTTTCGGCGGTGTTGCTGTTTTGTGCAGCAGGTGGAAAAGCAATAGTTACAGGTAACAGTGACTGAATAAGATTAAAAGTACAACTTTTTTTACCATATCGAAAAGAATAAAATGATATCGTGAAGACGAACCAGTACTGATAACAAGATAACTGTGAGCCCTACATTGCATTTCACTAAATGACATTAATATATTGAACCAGAAATTTATTTTATGGAACCCTGCTGAAACAACCTGTGGTCTGATCAACAGGCACGGCTAACTCACAGAACGAATTGGAATTTAGCGTGTTGGGTTTTATGGATGGAGAGAAACCCTCGAATCAAGGGACGGGCCCAAAAAATCTACTCGCATTCTTTATCTAGTTCATAAGTTCACAAAACAAAATTCGCCTTATTTTAACATTCTCGTACTAACAATGGCTTACTAAGGCTTTGGGAGCCCACGATTCATCAGACCTACTTAGTCAGCGGACTGAGGCCATGGCAATGGCCGGGTTCATGGGCTTGCTCTTTACTAAAATGAGGGCTTGTAAGACTTCTTAATTTCTCTCCGTTTTGTCATCCACTTAAAGGTGGGTTTTGTCATAACTGTGCTAATGATCTGGAGCTCAAAGATGATTGGCCTTTGTGCACTGAGAAAGAAAACGCAGGAAATCCTCTGTGTGAGACGCGTGCGAGCAGTGAGCCCGCGATTACACGAAGGGACTCGGTCATATCACTGGATACACTGTACAAAGGAAACTATGGATACGAGAAAAATGTAAGGATTCTTCGCGTCTTATTTTCTCCTACTTACTCTTGTTTTGATCCTATTAGGTTCAGGTCAAACGTTGAACTTGGCATGAGCCGAAACTAATTGAAACAATGGATAACAAGGCGGCGTCTTCTTTAATGTCATTAGGTTCGGCTCATGTGAAGTTGGACGTTTGACATGAGCCTTGGAGTGATTTAACTTAGCCCGTGAATAATATAGGAACTTATAATACATAGAAGTGGACACTCTCTCAATTCTTCTTTTGTTTTACTTCGACTATTAGTCACTACACTTCATTCGGCATTGAAATTTTAAAGCATTGGTTACGTTTTGCTGAGTAAATCCAATTAAAAGTTTATGTACAAATGAACAGAATTTACCGGCGTTTGCATTGCTACGCGGCCACCCCAGACAAAAATCGCGACGTGGACTTTGCAATAGACTGCCGTCAATCAAACACGTTGACGTCATTTACCAGAACTGTTCATGTACGGTTACATTATGATTGACATCGTGTTTCCTTCTTGAATATTTAAAAAGTAGAATGAACAAGAAATTTCATGCGCCAAGGAAAATCACTATTATAAATGACTTTTTTTTCGGCCATTTTTCTTTCTACGTTGCTTACAATCCACATTAATGATTATTATTTTTCAGAACATGGGAAGCAAAAACATTTTTTTCTAACAGTCTTATTCCAACGTACGCTGGTACACTGTCGCACTTCAATGTACTCACTGAAAACGTAAATTCTACCGACGCTTTAAAATATCTGCCCTGGCGTGGCGGATTGATGAGTATTTAAAAGATCGAAAACCCAAGCAAGAGGGAATAATACAACCTCGTTCCCAGGGCCTTCTCTTCTCGTTTTTTTTTTCAAGATGGCGGCGCTCGAAGGGAAAAATCTTCGAGCGCCGCCATCTTGAAAAAAAGCGAGGAAAGAAGACCCTGGTAACGAGGTTGGGAATAGTTAAAGAAACATAATCTTGGATTTTATTAATATGGTATTATCCATTTATTAACAACGGGATTTTTTGATCATTTAATTTACTAAATCAAAAGTGTGGAATCATAAGTGAGTAAGGGGTAGCATTTCTAATAAACATTTTTAGAACGGATGGTTGGCTTTTACTGACGCAAATGAACTTGATCTCAAATATGCGTAGGAACCTGAGGATAGGCGGAAACTACAGGGAGTAACAACTAATTGGAAGAAACGCGCAGGTGGAAAGGATGATATTTCAGTCTTATTTTTTCTCTCTCAAAAGGTTAGGTAAAACAAATTTCATAAAAAAAGGTTTTTTTCTTTGCTGTAATATAGCTACAAAAATAAATAAATAAATAAATAAAATAAAAATGCGAGGGATTAAGGTTATCGTATATAAAAAGAGACTTCTTCCAACAAACTATTATTATTATTCCACTTACAAAGTCTCATTTCATTTGCTGAGAAACTGATCTCACCTTTATGTTAGAGGATCAGCTTACATGATCATAAAACTTGCAGAAGCAGATATCTCGATTCCACTTCAGCAACGTTGCGCAAAGCAACAGAGGTCGCCGCACGAAAATGAAAAGGGCTCAGTGATTATGCATCTCCTGTTTACATCTTTTCAATGCTTTTCATTCCACTGACTTAACAAGTGCATGACATCGTCGAGCGAATCAACCAACCAGCGAGGCTTTAATATTAACTATGATTATTCTAGCACTCGAATGTTTTTTCCCATTGACTTAAAAAGGATTGAAAGTACCAAGTTTTGGTTTCACGAATAATTTAAGAAGCTAAAGTCAGTAAAGACACTCAAGGTTACCTTAAAATAACCAAAAAGTATGCACGGTAAAAGGCACTCAGTGGAGGTTAGTTCAAATTGGTGTTCCAGAAAAATAGCTCTATCATTTATCATTAGGAAGCAGCCAAGTCAAAGAAAAAAAACCGCAAAACCTCTCTTAAATTTATGTTTATCAGTCTTATATATCTTTTTATAACTTTTCCAGTCTGTTTTTGACGTTCAGACCAATACAAAAAAAAATTTATAATGCACAACCAAAATATCAATACATTTGTTAACATAACTACTTTCGATTATTTGGTCCATACAATAAAGTAAATTGGCTACGAATTCTTGAGTGATTAAAAAATATAGGCTATATGAGCCTAATGCATCAATAAGCTTTTATCATATCCAGCTACAATCATAAATACGAGTACTTAGTCAAGATTGGTAAGCCGGAACTGCATTAATATAAATCACGCAATCTGTTAATTGGTATCGAAATTTCATTGGCTGACTTCTTCGACCTGGGCTTTTAAGCTGACAAGACTTATAAAGCCGCTTGTTTTCTTCCTTTGCCGTTAAGTAAACTCTGATGGTTATATAGAGAGAGATCGTGCAGTCATAAAGTGGAAAATCAGCACGCCGCACAAACACAGACTCAAACTCCAAACACCTCTTGAATCTGAGCAACGACATAGATGGTTGAGGTTAACCAGATTCAACTCAAAAAAATCAACTTTGAAATAGGTAAGTTAAATATCTAAGCTATTCAAGAGTTATTTATATGTAATATAGTAGAAAATAAATATGTATGTTGAATTTAAATTTGGTCAGTAAGATGAAACAATCATTTTCTTGGTAATTCAGGCTACATTTCATGGATTTTATGGTGGCCAGTTTATCAAGCTAATTAAATTTTGAAAAATCTAGAGTTGACAAAATCAAGTGTTAAATCAAAGAAAAGAAGAAACGATTCATTATCTTTGACATTCAGGCTGCGTTCTACACCAGTTTCGCTTTCGATGTAAACCTATCTCAAAAAAACGTCGGTCAGAGATCTGAAATGGGCGACTGTAGGTTCAACGTGGTGGAAATTATTGTACTTGTTGAACAAACCTGAGCCCTTTTCTCCAGGGGCGTAGCCCCCTCCCCCCCTCCCCATAGCATATTTTTAAATATTTTTTCCAAGTTCTGTAGCTACACATTTTGCGACTCTAAACGCTTAGTCATGCTTAGCCGGCAGCCTCCCTCGTGCACGCAAAACGTGATGGAAGCACGCTAATCAATGACCAAATTCTCTATTTGAGTGATTTTCGTCCAAATTCCCTGACAGAAACGTACTTTGGCTTCTTATTTTACTGTAATGAAGTTGAAAAGTTGAAGTAGGATTTTAAGCTTTGTCTCTTAGCAGGAACAATGCACTTGTACAGTTCAAATTAGTATGGAGATCATCGAACCTGTCGTTCAAACCCGACCCCTTTTTTTCGACGACGGAGCCATATCTTGTTTTAAAAACGATAGTATAGGGGTACGAAAAATAGATTTTCTAAATAATATTGCTAAGGAAAGCAATCTACGATAAGCATTTTTCTAGTAGTGGTATTAAGACGTAATAAGAGGAACCCTGTTTAAATGAAGACCACATTAGTCTACTTTCTAGTTAATTCGCTATAAAGTTAGAGATCAAATGTATAAAGTTTCCCCGATATAAGAGAAAACGTCCCGGATGGCTTACAATGAAACCTCGTGAGAATATGCAAGCGCATGTTCAACTGAGAACTATGCACCTTATTTTCATACTATTCTTGGCTTTGAAACACAGGATATCGGATCAGTCGTGAAGAAGAAACAAGCTAAACTTGGAAAATGCAAGGGGAATGAGAACGATCGAGTTCAGATGTTTAAAAACTCAAAGTACAAGATAAAACGTAAAGTAAGTACGTTGAAAGGAGAACTTTTGGAAGCCTGAATTCAAAAAGAAGTATGCTGTATTGACAGAGCGGTCTTTGTATGAATGGGAAACGATACCGAAGCCGTATTCTATATGTAACGTCCTACACCGTTGCCGTAACTACACCTCTTGATTGGATGAATTAATGGGAATCAATAATGAAAAGCCATTTCAATGTTGCATGCCGCATGTCCTTCCGTGTACGTGCTGTAATTCAGTGCCGTATGTTTCCCACTTATACGAAATCCGCTCTACTTTCCGCTCCAAAAAAAAACATTGCTTATCGGTAAACTATATAATTTTTAATCATTTCACATTTTAATTCCTTTTCAGAATTCTTGGCTGATTTGACTTTTCTTGTCGGCTTGGTTAGCCATGAACAATTCTACCTTTGAGCTTCCTACTTGGACCGTAGCACCAACTACTTCATCCCAAGACTATGGCACATGCATTGAGACTCTGCGTTCTGTACCCTTTCTAATCTTAGTCTCTCTAACTGCACTGTCTAGTATTCTAGCTGTTGTTGGCAATGCCTCTATACTCTGGGCAGTCCATAAAAACAAGTCCTTACGAAACGTCTCTAACAACCTTATAGTGTCATTGTGTTTATCCGATTTGATCACAGGGCTTCTGGTCAGCCCACTCTCTATTGCTATGGCAACGCTACTGCGGCATGAAGAAGAGCACGAACGTCTAGAGAGCTTTCTATTTTTCTTCCTTGGAGTCGTATTGATCAACACAACTCTGACCCTATCTACAGTCAGCGTTGACAGATATATTGCAATAGTCTTTCCTTTACGTTACAAAGAACTTGTCACGCAACGCAAGTCCGTCTGTATATTGATTGGCACGTGGACTTTTGCAGTTGTAACGCCATCTCCTCGTTTGGTTTTTCTTCAAGAGCATTTGGAACAAATCATATTTGGAAGTATCGTGATAGCGCTGAGTATTCCACTCGTCATCACAGTTTACTGTTACTTTAAGATCTTGAAAGTAGCTCAGAAACAAGCTGTTTGTCCAGTAACGAGTGGTCTCAACGTTGCTTATTACACACTTAAGAACAAGAAAACTACTATTACTATGGCGATGATACTAGGTCTGTTCACTGTGGTGTACACGCCTTTGTTTGGATTTGCTGCGCTTGCGCTGTCTGGCCACCAAGTGTGTCACGTGCACGAGGCAGGTGATTGGCTGTGGCCAACGTTCGTCGTTTGCGCAAGCGCAGCGCTAAACCCTCTTGTCTACGGGATAAGGAACATGATGATTAGAAACGCTCTCAAGAAAATATTTATAGATATTTTTAAAAGGGAGCAAGTAGATAAAAACAGAGCGCGCAACCTAGTAATGCATCGATAATTGGATTGAAATAAAAACCCGATAGCTGATGTTAAGTAGAAACAAAGAGGAGAGAAACGAGTAGTGAAGAGAGGAGAGCTAGGAGACGAGAGATATCGCGGTGTTCCTATACCATCGGCTCTACAGTGTGCTAGCATCTTAAGTTTCACTGATTTTATTAATTAATATCATAGATAACATTATTTTGAGATCAAAAGGAGTCAATATTAAAAAATAGTCGAAAAACGCCTTCGTGATCTATGTCTGGAGTTATAGAAACGGTTTTAAGGAAATACCTTATTTTGCTAAATACCTTCTACATCAGAAAGACCACACTGACAATGATCAGTTTAGCAGCCCTACGTCATACTGAAGATATCAATAATACTTATAATTAATTAATGATAATGACAACCATTCTCACCGCGCAGAAAACCCAGTATCTCTCTTCCTAGTTTGAAGAAGGATAGCCTGGGTCTAGAGCATGCGCAGTAAGAATGGGCTTAACCTCAGCATCCCGTGGCCATTGGGTCTTCACCAGATCGCTTGGTTATATGTATTTTGACGATTTCTTCAGCACATGTGGGATGTATACCTACAGTTGATAACAGTTGGTCGCCTGTCAACCCGCACCTGAAATCCCAAAACACAAAAAAACATTCATATTGCTTTCAATCTTGAGAGCGTCAAGGGGCTTATCTAATTGCATAGGCTTCTTCGCTTTTTGTAGGACCCCTTTTAATTTGAGTGTTTGTTTTCGGTTTTTTCTTTTTAAATCTTTTATGGCGGGCTTCCTGTGGTGTCCCAGTTTCTTTTCGTTTCTGGCGTTTATGGTGTATTTCTTGGCCGGGGTTCCTGTGGAACGCCGTTCTCACGCGCGGGCATCCTGTGTTGCCTCTGTCTCTTCGTGAGCCTTGCATACCGACTCTTCGTCGAAGTAACGACATAGAAAATATTTCATCACATATAATTAGACTTAACTCACCGCATAGCAGTAGAAAACCCCTGCATGACTTCACCGGCATTTGGACCAAGATAATGAAGCCCCAAGACCTTCTGTTCGCCTTCCCTGAGACAAACAGCCTGAAGCAAAAGTGAAATCATAGTCCTTACCGAGCTCTTTATTCAAAAGGTTTGTAATACTCTCATAAAGCAGCAGCACGCAAACTTCGTTGCGGAGTTAAGTAACGACCTAGTTCATTATTTAGTAAACTCTAACCCTGTTTGCCGACAGCAATACATTCAAATATTAGTGTTCTGAAGTCTAAATATAACTGCAATGAATTCTGCACACATTCTCAAGTCTACTCATGCAACACGAGATATGCTAATTACATAATGAGAGCATTCAAGCTCGTGACATATTTACAAGTCCATTTCTCGAAAAAAAAGTAAGGTGAAAATAAAAACCATTGATATAACCTTCTCAACGTGAAACAATATTTATATTATTTTAAAAAACTGAGTCTGTTGCGCGGAAAAAAGTAAAGAAAATTTTAGAACCACTTTTAATTTAGACCCGGAAGTCGATTTTTCACACAAATGGCGCAACACTTTAAATGCTATGCTTATCTCAAATGTAGTTTATTTACCTTAATGTATCCTACGTCTTCGCTGCGCTCGGCCACAGTAAACTCTAATGGTTTGTAGAACGCATGGTACACCTGTATAGAAAGATCATTAGAGAGGTCATTCATGCTAGTAACTAAAAACGAAGACCCCTCAGCTGAGAAGATAGATCTCTTCATCTTGAGGCGCGATTACGCGGAGCAATTATCTCTGCAATTTTAATTTCTCGCAACGACGTTGCGACACAAGTTGCATGGAGCATTGCAGCGTATAGCCTACAGCAAGACAAGTTGCAGCAATTGTTGCACCAAATAGAACTCGTTTCTATTTTTGGCAACGATTGCTTCGAACCTTGTTGCGAGACAAGTTGCAGAGAAAATTGCTTCGGTTTATCGCGCCTTTAGGCGTTAAGTTTTGCCATTTCAGACCACGTGTGTATCAATTCTTTGTTTAACTGTTGCGCACGAGAAGACACATGAATACTGAAGGATACAACTCAAATAAAGAATCTTATTCTCAAGGAAATGACACGTGATCTGAAATGGAGAAAAAATAACACCCAAGACGACGTCTATGTTATCCACCTAAGAGTGTAATCACATTTGTAATAGAATAGAAAGGTCAAATGAATACCTCCCTTTTTATTCTCGTACTCAGACCTTTCTCAGCTTTCTAAATTCGTTTTTTTGTAAGAAAGCTGGGAAAGTTTGTTGTGAAGGTGAAGCTGGAAAAGGTATGAGTCACGTGATCAGCGTCATGTGAAATGATTCTCACCTCAAGGTTGTCTTCTCCGTGTTCTTTGATAGCTTCTTCCTCCGAAAAACCAACCTTGCTGTACTCCAGTGGAGTAAACACTGTAGTTGCGACCTAATAACACAAACCAAGCACATCAATACCTGGACAGATCAATTTGATGGTTTACAGTAATTGGCCATTGCATACAAAAGGCATTATCGTAGTCCTAAAAATCCTCGGATTGGGTAGAAGAAAAGTGAAAAAATTTAAACTTGGTTACCTAGCAACGTAAAACCGGTTAGGAACTAGGGGATCTCCAATACTTAAACCACTATGTAGACGATGTTTCTCTTTTAAGAAAATTCTTACTGCGATTTTCAATATTCTGTGAACTCGGTAGTTACAAGCTGCACGCCTAAATTTGGTTTTTCGCTGCCGTCAATCAAAAATAATCAGTCGGTACCTTTTATGTTCTTGAATGGCAGCAATAACAAAACAATTTCACAATAAGCCGTTGAAATATCTGAGTTCACAATACATAGAAAACTGCAGTAAGAGGGAAAGTCCTTAGGGCCTCTCACTCAATACCAGCGCAATTTTCCTGAGGCTATAAAGCAAAGTGGGTATCCTTGAGACAGCGAAGGTAAAATGAACTTTTTAGCCACTTTACACTTTTTCCCAACTTAGAAAATGTTTGTCAAAAAAAAATTTTTTTTCCGTTACATTATGGTAGTCCATCGGTATCTGAGATCCACCAAACAATCTCCTTGCCAACAGTTTTCCTGCCATTATAGCAACGGGTGTTAATTCTAGACGGTCCTATAGAAAAAAGAATTACATGAATTACATATGGAACACTTTTAATGGCTCACCATCATGGAAAATATTCTAAAAACATAATTTCCGTTGAGTGGCTCTTCCGTCTTCCGTGATGTTCGCTCAACACACACAACCAACTCAAATGCTGATTCTTACGGGAGAAGAGGAACCAAAGAATCCGAAGTAAAACCAGCGACCCCAAGCTTGATCTACAGTGGTGAGAGACAGCGCCTTGGTAGCACATGCCACTAAGGGCCACCCAATGATGGTTTTCACGGCCCCATGTTCGATGAATTTAACAAAGATTCGTCATTAGTCTCGTCATTGTTATACCATCCAACATGGCCACCGCGTCTTTCTCTTGGGAATGATTAACCAGCAATACCCATACCAGTGGAATATTCTACTAAAGTAGTCTAACCTGCAGAACATCTCCTATTGCATAGATGTTTGGTACAGAGGTTTGTTCATCGTTCTTTCCTATCACGAATCTTGTTGCTGGATTAACTTCTACACCAGCTTTTTCAAGGCAAAGGTTAGATGTCAAGGGATCTCTTCCTGGAAATAACAAAAAGTCAACCCCTTTCATTTGAATTATCCAGATGATGTTGTGGAAGCAAGCAGTCAGAAAAACAGGCAGGCAGACTGGCATTCAGGCAACAAGCAAGCAGGCAAGGAGACAAGCAAGCAGGCAAACGGGCAAGCAGGCAGGTAAGCACACAAGCAAGTAGGCAAGGAGACAAACAGGCAAGGAGGCTAGGAGACAGGCAGGCAGGCAAACAGGAAGCAGGCATGTCAAGCAAACACAGCAAACTCTTCTCCAACACTTTTCAAAAAAGTTACAAGGGTCCTGGCAAGCCTTCAACTCACCAATAGCCACTAAAACAGTATCAAACTCTTCTTCATTCTCCTCTCCAGTTGAAACATTTTTCCAAGTAACATTAAGTTTCCCTTCGCTTGTCTTGTCCACTCGCACTGGTACACACTGTCTAATGAAACGAGTTCCATGTCTTCCCATGTATTCAACTACAAGTTCGGCCATTTGCTGAAAAAAAAAAGATCTTTGAAACACTTGTCTAGGTTTACTCTTCTTGAATGGTTAAAGCCATTAATCAATGGCTGAATGTGTTTCGGATCGGAAAAGAACAGCGTTGAGTTTAAAATTTTACAGAAGACGCCTGCCTACAATGTCACACTTGACAGTTCTGCAATAGAAGGACCATAGATGGTAGGATTGTATAATAGCCATGTATTTAGTACATCTTACATAATACAATAGTTACTAGAACTTTAGCATGCATGCTGTAAGCCTTCACTTCAATTTAGGGTGCTTCTCAATGGGCACGAACATGCACAAGACATCTTTCTTTCTTTTCCTCTTTCTCTTATGTTAGATCCGTCTTTAAATATTAGGGTGTTTTTGTTTAGCAAGATTTGCCAAGGAAAGTATACCATATGTACATATCTGGCAAGGACTTCCCACAGAGTACAAATTAAGGCGTCATTAACTACAACTTCCAGAATCTCTGCACACTCTCTCAAGAGGAAATAAAAATTCGAATAAGAAAGAAAATTCGCGGAGAATTTTGGTAGTGGTAGTTAAATGGCGCCATTATGCAACGACCTATAGATATTGCCTTTTAGATAAAGCTTTTAATTTCGAGACAGAGAGACAAACATATTATTTCATTTTCACGTTTTATTGCTAAATCTCTTTTTCAACAAAACCCATTAGGGCTAACTTTATAAGTACAATACAAAAGAAAGACTATAACTAACTACTCAAATGAAGTTAGGAAACTTGCAAAATACCAATATACCTTGTTTACCTAGTGCATAATGTGTTCTCATTCAAGACCATGTGTCATTCTCTTGAGAAGAGGATTCTTTGTTTGAATCGTATGATTCCATATTCTTGTCTTCTCATGCCCAACCGTTAAACAAAAATGATACTCTAGGAATGACAAATGGTCTGAAATGGGAAAACATTACGTCCAAGCTCATCGTTAACTCGAAGTTGAAACTTCAAGGTGACGATGTAATATGCATAATCATAAATTTGGACTAACTGTTTTAAAACATAATTTATATCATCATAACTACAAAAACTTTTATCGTCTGTACTCTAGAGAAGACTATACAAATCAACACGTTCTAACGATAACTCGTATTATATATTAATTATATAAAGTGACTAAACGAATGCGTCACTATCGATTGATTATTTCCACCATGTTGGTTAGAAAAGATATTCAAATAAAGATAGAAATAAAATACTTTTTTATACTGGAATACAAATTCAGTATGCATACAGCTGGGCGGATAAATCCTTATCCAGTGGATAAGTCAATGCTTTTATCCAATACATTTTTTCACTGGATAAGATTTATCCGTTGGATAGCGCTATCCAGGCTTCGTACAACCGGGCCCTGGTTTCCAATTTGGTCAACTACAATAGTAGTTAACTGATAAATACCTAAAATTAGTAGTTAACAGTTAACGTATATCCATTTTAGTTAATATTATCGCAAGTGCTCCGTAAAACTATTACAGTTTACTGACATTCGGCCACAACATTAGTAGTTACATGTAACTGACAATTGGGTACCCCCATTGGCACCCTCCTTTTGCTTCCAAAGAAGTTTTTCATCTTTTTATGACAAGTTACTGGTACTATCTTTGTCATATTTTTTTGCTACCCAACATGGTGGAAATTGATCTAACGAACTTCTAATTGAAATCTTTTTATCTATCTATTGTCATGATAATATTTGTTCACTACATCCCCTATTTTATTAGCACTACCACAGTACTCTGCAAATTTAATACACTAAGATTTCCGTTGTGAAGCAAATCTGTGTTTCAAAAGCAAAACATTGTAGTAGGCAAAATGACTAGCAAAAGAAAAGAAATTACCTACGTTAGAAGTAGAATGCTAAATAACACTTAACCTGTGAAACAATTCTAGCTATTTGGTGCTAAATAGCTCTTAACTAAACAATAGAAAAGAAAGGGTGTGCTTGCTCTCTATATCAACCCATTGGTAAGACTTTGCACAACATATCCATTTTCTGTCTTCTAAAATGTATGTAAGCCACTTTCTAAACAAATAAGAGACTGCTCCTTCAATACTCCATTTTACAGTTCCATTCAGTGACCACGAATAATAGTTCATAGCCGAGGCTGGGGTTACCATGATAAACTGTAGTTTTGCTATGCACGGAAGCTCCAGCCTCGGCTAGGAACTATTATTCGTGGTTACTGAACAGAACTGTAAAATGGAGTATTGGCTGTTTATATCAATGTTGGTCAAATATACTCCTTACTCTGTCCTATTTGAACCTGGCCAGTCCTTTATTAGCTTTAAATGTGGCAAGCACATGCTACATAGCACTCAGTTCACATATTATTTATCTACATTGCTATATATACGATTCCTATTTATTTTATACTGCCAAGCAAAACGTTCAAAGTTTGAACCTGAATTTTTTCATGACAGTTTAACTGAGCTATGAACACTGAGGTAAGCAAATGACTTTCTACATCAGATTTTTTTGTACTTTTTTAAAATTTTTGTAACACCGATGAGTTGCCATGCCAACCAAACACTACTTCAAAATTTAAAGTAAAGTCTGCAGCACAGATGTTAAAATCAGGGCAATTCTTTTAAAAACAAGGATATACTGCATTGTCAATAAAAGTATACAAAATTATTGGTGGCAAAAGCCATAACTCTTGGCACATTTATGCATGGTACAGAGCTTTGCACCATCACGTGCAGGCACCCATGATACAGCTTGGGCTGCCTGTGGTTAGATGGCAGAACAATAAAATCCCTTTGCTTTAGGGAATTTCATTCTTTCTCATGTAAAATGATTGTATTGTTCCTGCCATCTAACATGGGTGCAGTCACGTGATGATGGAAAGTTTCTATATTTATGTTTTATGTTGAGAGCTAGAGATACATGTATACCAAGTACACTTCTGTACTTAACTATATTAACTTCTACTCTCTACTATTATACACCTGAATACAACATGGTGTTTAATAGCGCAGCGCAACCATGACGTCATAAAAATGAAGACAATAGCGAAATTCGGACAAACAAACTTACAAGTTTACTTTCAGCAGATAATTTTCACAGCTGATCGCCGTTGATCTTAGTTTACATGGGTTATTATTGTAACTTTAAGTAAAAATAATAAAATCGGTTCGTATAATCCTCGTAGCGGTTAAACAGAATGCACATGTTTGTCCGAATCTTTTAGCTATTTTTAGAATCAGTGCGCTGCGCTATTAAGATTCCTTCTCATTCACTTAATGAGATTCAAACAAGGAATCCTATTCACTGATACAAAATATTTTCACATAATAGCACATTCTACATTTGTGCCACCTCATGTCTCAACAACCCTGAGGTTCACATCCCATCATAATTGGAGATATATTTTCTCCATTGTAATGCTCATAATAGCATTGTTGGGCATTCCTAGAAAGTCTTTATCTCAACTCCATCAATCCTATGATCAAAAGGGTTCTACATGTACCAATTACTTATAGAACATTGTTGTAGACTTAAAAAGACTGATAAGATATACACCATTATAAACTAGTGGTCAATTAATACCTTCTATAATTATAAGAGCTATAATAGTTAGACCCACCGTATCCATATGGACGTTCATATCTTGTATTTTGACAGTTACTACACTCTCGTTCATCATGGAAGTACCATGAGGGAACTTCCTTCTCTCTCCATCCTCTATCCCTTGCCGCGCAAGCCAGACACATCCTCTTCCCAGTATTATATGTCCCAAGTAGATGAAGACATATTCTATTGCACTGTCTGCAACGATGGTGCAGGATGGCTCTTCCTCCAGTAATGTGCCCTCTGATAGTTGGATCAAGGTATTTATAACACCACTCAACACCATTGATGTCACCATTCTCATCCTTCTTGCCTCCCTTCATTAGGTGATGGTGTTCAGTGCGAAGCAGATCCTTGATCTCTCCTTTAAGGGCAGAAGAGGTAATGGGCCTTTCTTTTTTTGAACTACTCTTAGACGTCTCACTGGAACTTCTTTCTCCTTCTCGCCTATCCGGTTTCTTGTCTAGTTTATCCCGTAAATCCTCAGCTTTATGCTCTTTCTTAGGAATTTTAAAACGGGGTGTATCTGAAGTTTTCCTTTCTTTTTCTGAAGATGAACTTGGAGAATGACTTCGTTTTCGCGAGCTTGATGAACTATGAGAACTTTCTTTCTTAGAATAACGATATTCGTCGCTTCTCTCGCGTTGTTTCTCTCTCCTTTCATCATCTTTTATTTCAGCTGTCTCAGATGTCTTCCTCATCTTTTCCGGTAAATCATGAGATGATTTTTCAGAATAACTTCGTTTTAGTGAGCTAACTCCACTGGAAATTTGGCTCCTACTTTCGTGCTCTTCCTCGCTTCCCTTACGATGTTTTCTTCTCTTCTCATCACCTTTTACTCCTGACTCTGAAGTTGACTCAGACGTCTTCCTCTTCTTTTCCTGTGAACGTGGAGGTGATCTTTCAGGACGACTTCGTTTTTCTACAATTGAGCTCCCTTTACTAACATGACTACTACCTTTGGACTCATCGTCCTTTCCTTTACGATGCTTTTCAACGTCGGATGGACTCAAACTCGTGTTTTCTGCTGAATTTCCAGAATTTTGCACATCTTGATTTCTTGGAACTGAGCTTCCTCCATCGGAATGGACACTTTCTCTTCTCTCTTCCCCGAGACTCTCACGACTCCCTTCTAACATCTCTTGATATTTTTGATCCCCTTCACGGTCGTTTTCTCTGCGATCGGTACTCATACTCACAGTAGAAGTACAAATACTACAACAATTCGAAAAACGAGGAAGAAGAAACCAACCAAGCTTGCTGGTGTTTGTAGTGTTCAGTCCCCTGCTCGGCTGACCAAAGCAAAGGAAACCCGAAACCAAGAAAACGGAATTTCTTCTATAATTCTAGAGATTGGAAAACGAAAAAGCGAAATAAAGATGCGAAAAAAAGATGTGGGAGAAATATGTCTTACAAGCCGTTGGGATTCCTGTGTTTGCAATACTTTGTATTTTCGTTAATTTGCAAAAAATAGAGAGAAAGAAAAAAGAGACAAATAACAAAGAAAATGAAAAAAGACAAAAGAACTTCTAGAAAATCTTAGTAATTCTAAAGCCATGCATTATTTGCAGACTGAATTTTGTAGACAGTATTTTGCAGATTGGTTTCACATTCCTATTTCTTTTTTAAAGTAAAATTGACCTGCCTATTGCTATGTGCTTATAGAGACAACAGTTGCGACAGGGAAATTAGGCAATACACTGCTGTCAATCAGAGTATGTAAACGTACTGAACAATTTTTTTTAAATTGAAGGCAGTGAATCGCCTGATTTCCCTGTCCTGACTGTTGTCTCGGTCAGTGCATAGCAATGAAAATAGTGGTTAAAAGTTTTGCAGTAAAGCTGCAGGGGTGTGTCCAGTCCGGGGTAACTTTGACCCACCTTCCCATTGCTAACTCACTATCAATCACACGACTTTTTGGAGTTGACTGGGGGGCAAAGAAGCAGTTGAGTGAGGGGCAAATAGTGGATGTTTAAGTCAAAACATGTCAAAATRAGTCCTCAAACTATTGTATTTGACTATTTCTACGACATGAAACYAGAAAACMAGAGATCAAACGTCTACTGATAGCAACCTATAGGCAGTTCAAATATTTTTAGTGAGAGGTACAGTAGAGGTGCTTTTTTTGAGGTTATTGGGAGTGACAAACCCTGATGGGAAATCCTGGATGTACAGCCCTGAAGAAAGTTAACATAAAAATGAGCTACAAATAAGAAAAGGAATGGCTGGCTTTGTTACCTGATCAAATCCTCTTAAGGGTATAGATCTCATCATGACTGATGAATCATACCCCAGTCCAGCAAGGAAACCTGCACACTCTAAAGCCACATCTGAACACAGTCAAGGACCTACTGTACCAGCATCTCACATTACTGGGCTAAGCTTCCTTCAACAAGGTCATATGGCCATGATAGCTAGAACGATATTCTGCATTTTTTGTTACTGAATTAAGACAGTGCTGTACTCTGGATGGCAAAAATACATGCTTCATAGCATTAGTCTCTAATTAGAGACAGTTTAAATGAATTTTTTATTGCTCAAGTCTATAGCTTTATATCTACTCAAGGATACAAGAAGCTCCAATTACTAGCCTGAAAATATAAAACAAAATTCAGGGGTAAAATCAAAAATGTATTGTTTAAATGTAATTCTTGAACAGTGAGAAAGAAAATAATTATATAGTTTTAAATTATATTTTTTGCATCCTATTAGATGATTTCAAACATATTGTTAAAAAGTTTGAATTCATATTAATATATTTTCAATTCCTTACGTTTTTCCAGGTTCTTTTTTTAAAGAGAACAAGTCATCACTTGAAATGAAATGTTCCAGAGCTCCAGGGACCTAAGGAAGTAAGTGTATATAAAAAATGTCATAATAAGGAATGGATTGCTGAATGAATTGATGGATAGATAGATGAAGGAAGGAAGGAATGAATGAATGAATGAATGAACAGATCAAAACATTGCTTAAAACATTAGCTGTACTTTGGATAATATCCAGCCAGAACTAGGACTTGTCTGGTCAAATCTTTGTCTTGCCGATCACCTTGGCCAGTAATGTTTAGCCAGAAATGAGGTATGACTAAGCTAAACTAATTTGGCCTATGATCATGACCAGCAACAGATTGGCCATTATAACAAGCCTTGCAGATGGATAAGTGCATGGTTGGTTGAAAGGTATAATATGGGTTTTTGGGATAATGAATGATTATAAAAGGAATGGAAGATGGATGGAATGGGATAGATGGACAAGAAAAAAGGGAAAAGGGAAAATGAAATCTTGCAGAAAAATTCACATACATCTGATGGAAATCTTGGTCGTCCTCCAACAGCAATGACAATGTTTTCTGCTGTCACAATTTCCTGAAGTATGCAAAAAAAATGTTTACTTTTTTCCTGATAAATAAACAATACTGTATGCTGATATTGGCTGGGTTACACGGTTTTATTAAGTAGAGAACAGAGATATCCTTGCACAAAATTTTCAAAGAAATATAAAACGTGCATTTATGTCTCTATCTGAAAATGACCACAAAGTCTTGAGATATGCCGCAAATTTGGTAGGCATTGTTGATCATTTTCCCAATTTTTGTACTGTGATATGAACAGTTTTAGGCTGAGAGTTGTTAGAGATAAGCAAGCTTAGGAACAATTGACAAGTCACTGTTTCTTTAGCCTTTCGAGTCCTCTACTGCTCCCAGAGTGTTTACATGTGAATCACAGTACAGAGACACAATCAACCATTGTTAAATATTTTTGAAGGACATTGCACAAGTGTGTCCTCCAATATAAACAGGGTGTAACTTCAGCTTAGAGCAAACTCAGAGACTTTTCCATACTGATTAAATTTATTAACCTAAACGTGAAACTAACAGAGAAAATACAAGTTAACAGCAATTCGAAAAGGCAAAAGAAAACAGAAAATAGATATATTAAATTTATATGTTGCTTACCAACTGTCCCGGCTCTAAGAGAGTTAAGAAATATTACAGCTTATCGCAAAATCCAACGCAATACTAACTTGCAACGGTTTCTTCGCAATCATTACTTCGCAATAGTTACTTCGCAATAGTTTCTTCGCAATCGAAAGTTAACTTATAACCAGAGAAAAATTTGCATAAGTACAAAAAACATGAGCCCGGGGAAAACTAAACAAAGGAAAATATGAAACGAACAAAGCCAATGATAACAAAAAAATACATGCACTGAACAATAAAATAAACGGAGCGGAAATCATAAAATAAAATACTTCGGTTGCACTTATATCTCAAAATATTTTATCAAGCCAATCAGTGCAGACAATATATTTCAAATATTATATAACAATTTAATACATAAAAGCTATTTGCACTCTCTATACTGTGACATCAACACTGTAAGCTGTAGAAGAGTCAAAATGCAAATTAAGAAAAGCTTGTCCTCTACTGCTCCACATCTCCACAGCATATTAGACACAATAGACACATTTCTTATCATATAAAGTTTGAAATGGCTGTTATTAAAAATTAGCCTTCAATGAGATATTCTTTTGAATCCTACAAGTGGGGCTATCGGGTAGATACACTATTTGTTTTTCATTTGCATCTTGTTTGCATGCATCCATAATATTTACTATTGGTCAACCCTCTCAAGTCATTATATCTATACAACAGTAATTAGCTTACTACCTCTTTTCCAGATTTGCTGACTGCCTTTATTGTATGTGAATCCAGTAGTGAACCCAAGGCAGGTAAATATTTAATTTTTCTAAAACAAATCATTATAAAACATGGACTTCAAAAAATATTACCAAAGAAGGATAAGCGCTATAAATTATTTGTTTTGTCAAGAAAATAAACTTAGTTAATACAATAACAAAAAAATCAAAATAAGACAAGGATGCTTGTATATTGATAAGTGCCATAAATTATATACTAGAAGATTATAAACAAAAGCAGTAACTTAATAAAAGGGGTTTCATTGACTATATCACTATGTGGTTTGTCACAGCAATACATTCTGGAACAACAAACCATTATGTCTTTTGTTTAGTATAACTTAATTGAGTTAGCACTCCCAGGTTACGTTGCTGTGACAGACTTGCAAATATAGTCTATGGTAGATATGTTGAAGGGCAATGCAATGCGTCCATCCATCCATTTCCCTCATCAATTCATCCAACCAATCATTCCTCCATCCATTCATCCATTCACTCATCAATTCATCCATCCAATCATTCCTCCATCCATTTATCCATTCACTCATCAATTCATCCATCCAATCATTCCTCCA